AGGCATTGTACCTATCATGCATCAGGCCCGGTGCGTCACCAGGAAGGGGACCACCTTCGTACGCCGCAGAACCCGTCTTCGGAAGTTTACTCACGTAGGTGCTGAGCTGAGTCTTCTGAGAGCCCACCCAGTCGTAGATGGGTGAGAAGTTCTCGATCGAGCCGAAGAGGACCTGCGGGTCATTCTGGTAGTTCTCGTCGTCGGCTAGCGTCTTCGCGGTGTCCTCCAAGACGTTGCAGTCCCACCACAGGTAGCTCGCTTCGCTGACCCCTTTGGCGCCGTAAGCCTGGGCATAGGGGATACGGCAAGAGCGAAGGCTACGAATGTCACGGGTGTGTGCCCACGTTCAACACGGAACTCTGCCGTAGTCCATATATGCCCTGATTGGAACGAATAATACAGAGGCGGCCCGCACTTAAGAACCTCTTATTTGGGGCGAGGCTCGCTTCTTGTTGGCTGCCCCAATCCGAGCACCAGTTCTTATTTGCCAAGTTCTTATTTCGTCGTCCACTTGTCTCCAGAAACGGTGTTCTTGTTCTTATTTCAGCTTCGATTGCTCAATTGGTGCACTACTCTCAACTGCACTCGACGGAGAGTTTCATACCCGCAAACACCCCCCCCATGGGGCAACTGTCAACCGTCTTGGTCCGCAAGAGTGACGTTGGGGGTGCGTAGCCTTCCCGCCCTACTGACGCTCTCAAGCAAAACCCACGAGCCTACCGCCGCGTCCGGATCTCCGCTGTACTTGTATAAGGGCAGCTTCATCCTGCGCGTACTGTGGTCTACCTCCAGCTGCACGTATGTTCTTATCTGTAGCACCAGTCGTACACGTCATGTGTGGGTTCTTATTCTTAACAGCACGTCCGATCTGAGCACGTGTTCTTTTGGGCAAGTTCTTAAAAATTGGATTTTTTTAGGCTCATATTCTTAACTGCCATATTCTTAAGTGCGGGTCGCCTCTGTACTCCCGAGCCCCGTAGTGATCTTTTGTGAAAAGACAACAATGCGAAAGAAAAGGATGTAGCTGCACGCACGACAAACTTTTCCCCTATTGCCTGCGACACGTCTACCCCCCTCCGGCGGGTGGTGACAGAAATCTACACGGTATTTGAGTTTAGCCCTAAGATGAAATTCCCAACCCAATGCGCTCTAAATTGACCACCATCCGGGCCCCAGGAACGAAAGTGGTACATGATCGGGTATGTCTCTCCTTGCTACGATGCGTTCAGAAATGAAAAATATATACTGAAGTAACGAAAAAAAAAAAAAAAGTTCGACGATCGAATGAACCCGAGCACACCAGAGGAAAAAAGAGCAGGCACAGTCCTTGGTTGACAACGGCGCTAGCCATTTCGAATACCCGAAATCGTGTGGCGCACATCAAGGCCAAACAGATCCCAGCCGAAACAGGGCCCACCAGGTATGTTGATTGACCGAACACCTAAGCGTTAAAACCTCACCCACAAAAGGCACCACGGACAGAGCGGAGACAAACCGACCTAACCCCTGCATTTGCTGCACTACGAGGTTGATGCCTCTGCTAGTATTTAGTCGGGTATGTTAAACCCAAAATCTTCGAGGTAGGTGACAGGTGACAGCGCTCTATCCCGTGCCCGTGTTCTAGCCCAAATCTTCTGTGCCAACACTATTAGGACTCTTTTTGGATTCTGGACGGTGAGAAAAAGTTCTTCGACCTACGCTAACTTGGCAACATGAACGGCTCACCTCAACGCCTTGCGGGAGATCATCGATCACCTGCAGCAGCACCTTCTTCTCGATGTCGGCTAACTCGCGGGGGAACTCGGCCTTCCTCACGATCTCGTTCCCATCGATGTCAAGGAAAGTTTGCTTCATCTGAAAAAACACGCGGTTGACGGGACAACGACATGGAATTAGAACTCCTCAAAAGAGCAACTACCAAGTTGTCATCCTCTGATCCACTGCATTAATCCACCTCATTTCATTGGCAAAATACCTACCTCCGCTAACACCAGCCCGGTTAACACTAAATAGTTATCCGACACGTGAAAATATATATAGCCGAAAGAACCGACGACTAATACCAAGTGGCGATTCGGCATGGTCATTTGGCCTTCGCACTCGAGCTCACCTCAGCCTTCCTCTTCGAAGGTCCCTTCTTCGAGGGGTGTCGAGGGGGTCTTCCACTGCTTCCTCCAGTCCGGGTCTTCGATGAAGACCGGGGGCCGCGTGAACTGCTAGGCTGGGGACAAAAGGCGGGCAGGTGAAACGCGGTGGTAAGATTGGATCCTGCCATGCTGCTGGCGAAAAGCGCGGGGGGGGGGGGGGGGGACCCCAAATCCTGGAAGCAGTAATCCTTAAAACATTGGCCTCCC